CTTAACCCCAACCCCCGCTTCTCCTGCACCTCCCTCAGCTCCGTTCTCAGAAAGGTACCCACACAACCAAGTGCAGGAAGGGGTGGTGAGGGTCAGAACTAAGGGTGCTCTGTTCTGGGCTGGGCGTACCCTTCCATGAACCATTCATGATGGGGAAACTGAGGCTGCTGTTGGGGTTCTCAATGCAAGAAGAGGAGACGGGGCCTCTCTCGGCTCTTTCCTGCCCCTTGGGAAGCTGCCCTAACTGTGCCCATTGATGTCCTCTCCTCTGGGCTTCTCAGGATCACTGGCCTGGCCCGTTAAGCCCCACACTTTACAAGGAAGGCTCCTTCCATCCTCCAACCTGCTGTTCTTCCAGCTTCCCTTCTGGCGTCTGTGGGACTGTCCCCTCCAGCCCCCTTTCTGCACCTCTCTCCCTGCAGGACAAAGACAACCTGTGGGGAGGCCACTGCTTCAGCCAGGGGTGCCTTCTGCCTGTTGGCACATGCTGACCTCTCCCCTGTAGAGGAGGGATGGAGGCAGAGGACATGGCACATTCTGTTTCACTGTTGGGTGCTTGGGCGTTGGTTTTCAAGTCTACTCCCCACCTTACCTGACTCCACCCCCAAAAGTGTCCCCACAGGGCAGGCTATGAACAAGGCCTCTGCAAGAGTGAGGTGTGGCTGAATTCCCCTACCCTTCCTACCCAGAATATCTGTGCTCACCCCATGACCCTGCCAGAAGGCAAAAGTGGGCACGCTTCTGGTCGTTAACACCCTTGACCCTGCTGGGACTTTGCTAAAGAGTGGGTGTGGGAGGAGGACCTCCTACTAGCGACAGGGACAGGTGCAGATTAAGAGCTCTTAGAACTCTGCCCTTGTATGGCTGAGTGGGGGCCGGGGGCATTCAGGCAGTCCTGGCTTTTCTGAGCATTAGTTTCCATAGCTGTAAAGCAGGACTATCCCATTCTCCCACAGAGGTTGCTTCAGGTCCAAGGCCTGTGCTGAGGAGCATCATTGGGAGGCAGCTGTTAAAACCTGGTAGAGCATCTCTGTGCTCAGTGCACCTTCATACCTTTCACACAACAACCCCCAGCCTTTGCCACTGTGCAAGGGTGGAAGCCCTTCTGCTGAGCCCCCTAGCTTTCACTGATACCCCAAATCTGGACAGGCCCTGCTGGCTCTGGGACCTGCAAACTTCCAGTCCTCAGGGGCCCCACGGCTGCATCCAACAGCTGCTCCCATCACAGGGGCCCCTCTGCCTGGCATCTCTCTACCTCCACATCTGGTCATTTGACACACTGGGACAGTGGAGTGGATGAGATTTGGAGCCTGGGTTTGAATCCCAGCTCCTCTGCTTCCTAGCTGTGTCATTGTGGGTGACTCAGCCTCTTGGGGACTCAGTTTCCTCATCTGTTAAAATAGCACTGACTGTTATACAAAGGGCTGTCATGAGGACTAAATAAGTAATTGTTTAAAAATAATAAAGTTCTGCTAGTTCCCAAATGTCTTGCATCCATTCCCTCTTTTGCTCCTACTGCTCTGGGCAGATGGCTGCAGATGCCCCCTTCCTGCTTCCCACCATACCCCCAACCCCTGACAAATCCAGGCTCCCCCGTGTTACCAGGGTTATCTTTCTAGAACCCACATCTAATTGGGCTATAGCCCTATTTAAAACCCTTCTCCCCTCATATCTTCCCTGCCAGGAAGAGAGGATTCTCCTATTGTACAGATGAGGATATGGGGTTCTGGAAAGAGAAGTTACTGGCCCATCATTCACTGGATTTGTACTGGACTCCAACTATGTGTCAAGAGCCATGGTGGTAGATCCAGGGCCACAGATAGATGAGAGGGGAATGTGAAGCCAAGTTCAGATCTGCCCATTTCTGTAGCAGACACCATTCCCAATAGGCCCTGGCTCTGGAGAGCTCTCCCTCTGAGGGCACAGTGGGGGTATCTAGGCCCTGACTCAGGAATGGAGATGCCCATCCTCAGAGGAGGGGGCACACTGACAGACTGGAGGGTAGGGAAATCCAGAGCTGGGCCCTACAGGAAGTACCTGTCAGATAAGCAGGGAGCGGCACCCAGAAAACAAACTACACCAGGGCCTCGGGGTTTAGGAGGAGGGCCTCGGGGTTTAGGAGGAAAGCCTATCCTCCTTCAGGAGCACCTGGTGCTGGACAGTTCCTGGACAGGCTCTGTAGGTGGAGCGCAGGCTGGCATGGCTCTAGCTGCACTGACCCTGCACTCCTGGGGTTGCAGAGCAGAGGCACCCCTTCTCCAGCCTTGGCCTGAGACTTGCAGTCTCTCTCTCTCCCCCCGAATGTCATGGATCCCACCTTGGTCCTGATAAATACCCCCCTCCCAGACCTCCCTGGTCCCTGGCCCAACCCCTGAAACTTACAGACACCCCCCCGCCCAGCCCACCAGTCTGCCTTCTGGCTTTTTCATGATACACATACCATGCCTCCCCTTAGTTCTGTGTATCCCAGAACTCTGGTACTGTGGATGCTTATAAAGGGTCCCTGGGCCTTTTTCTGAGCAAATGAACTCCCTGCCTGGCTGCTCTCCAGGCATCTCAAACTCACCACATCCAAGTTCTAATCTATCCTCTTATTCCAGCCGCTGCTTGTCCTCAGCTCAGAGTCTCAGCACTCAGCCTGGCATTGCCCCACCAGCTGCCACTCTTCTGCCCCAATAGTTGGTGGGCCCTGAGCATACAGGCCTTGGGAACGCCCTCTTTATCCTGTGCCTGCCTCCATTTGCCCCCCTGCCCCTCCATACCACCACATTTCTGTGGCCTGTCTTCTCCACCAGACCATGAGCCCCCAGGTGGGTGTTACACCCACCACAGGACCCAGGTGGGCCCTACTATACACAGAGGGTTAGAAGTATCTGGAAAATGGAGCCCACACCTGTTTCACTCAGAGGAGTCAAAAGATGCTGTACTCCCACACGCTGATGCCCTGCCTCACTCTGCCCAAACAGGTGTGGCTGTGACCACCCCTAGATGTGGAGGAGTCACACCTACTTTCCCCTGGGACAGAGCACAGCCATAAAAACAGACCCAACCAGGTGAGGGGGGAAGAGAAACCACCCCAGACACCAAAGCTGCTATCACCCCTTCGGGCCTATGTGGGCACTAAGGAGCAGAAAGTGAGGCAGGCTCCAAGACTGAACCAGAACCACATGGGGACAGCAGCCAGAAGACCTGAGCACCTAAACCCCCAATTTCCTGCAACCCAGGATTGGTAGACAGTGCAGGAGGTTAAGAACCAGGCTCCTGTCAGAAGCGGTGTGGGAGCCTGGCTTGTTGGTTGAGTGACTTTGGGCAAGTCACTTCACCTCCCTGAATCTTTTCCTCTCTGTAAAATGGGGATAATAATAGTACCAAACCCACAGGGTTGTTGCGCAGATCATATGAGAAACAGCACAGATGCCCTTCGCTGGCATGAGTCAGCTCGAAACCAAACGCTTACCCCTGAGGCGCCAGGTTCCACCTGGGTGGGGGTCTTACTTCCCATGCCCCGAGGGAAGCCCACCCTTGGGTGTGAATGTGAGGGCTCTCCCTAGGAGACCCATTAAATAGAAAGAAGGGTTTAGGAACTTTAGACAGATTTTTCATAATAAAAAAAGTGTATGAATTACCCCTCAATTACTTAGAGCCCTTCAACTAACCGGCATCAGAATGTCTTGCCCACCATCCATCACACCCTCTAGAGGGGGGACAGGAGTAGAAGGAGGCAGCTTGTGGGAAACTGCCTTGAGACCCCACAAAATCTCAGACCTACACCAGACTAACAGTACTGGTCCCAGTGCCAGATTTCTCCCAAAGTTCCTAGAGCTAAAAGGTTTTAGGTTGCTCCCCAACCAGGGGCCTCCTGGATGGATCAGGGTGGCTGGGAGGACAGAGATTTGTTCAAAGTGGGAGGCAGAGTGGGGCGGGGGTCAGATCACGCTCCCAACAGAGGTAGCCAAAGGATCTTGGGATCACCACCCCTTCCTTCCTCCTGCCCTCCCAGAGGGGCTCGCTCACCCCATGCTAAGTGACTTGCGTTGGAGGGGACAACTCTTGCTGGTCGCCTAGCTAGGAGGTAATCAGTACTATCCCCATTTTACAGAGTAGATAATGGAAGCTCAAAGGACGGAGGTAGGGTTCAACCCAGGTTTGACTCCCCACCCAGAGGCTCTCCTCTGCGCCAGCTGGTGTGAACACAGCTGCTGGCTTATCCATGTTCAGTTACCCCTGAGGCTGCCCCGTCCGCCCTGCGCGGTTTCCCGAGGGGCCCGCCACTGCAGACTTCTCCCTCTGAAGACCTTACGGGCCTTCGTTTGCTAGGCTGGCGCGGTTCCGGGGCCTCGCGCTGCCCGCAGGTTCATCAATGGCTGAGGCCGAAGGGTCTGAATGGAGGGCACGAACCCGCCCCTTTTTAAAGGCGCCCGCCTCTTGGGTACCCTTAGAGGTTCTCCCCACTGTCCTGGGCTGCCGGAGAGCTCCTGGGGTGGGCGAGAGTGGTGACCACGAGAAAGAAGGCTGGGGCCGAATGGAGGGCGTGCCGGCCGGTAGAATGTGGTCGGGATAGCGTTCCTCCGGTGGCCAGCACCCTCATTCCAGTTTGGCCCTCCCCCGCCCCTGCAGTCTAGGGAAGCGACCCGGACGCCCCTCCGCCCCAGCCACAGACCCCTCCTCCAGGGAGCCCTATGCGTTTACCCCACCGCGGGCCCTGGGCCCGGGGCCGGGGGCGGGAGGTGGGGCGCGCAGCTGCTCCGGAGGCGGCTCAACCCTCTCGCCACTCCCGCTTGGCCCGGGATGGGGGTCAGAGAGCTGATACCCACCGGGGACGCATCTCCTCCGTCGCGTTCCCTCCCACCGCGCACACAAAGACGACACGCGCGGACCAGGGCGCGTGCGGCCGCGCTCCTCCGGGCAGCAGTGCTCACACACACGCACACCCTCAGGGATGGACCGGGTCCGGAATGATGGACAAGGGGACGAGGGAACTGAGGACAAGCAGGCCGTACCTACAGGCGCGCAGCTGCGGCCGGGCGGGCCGGGGCGCCGGCGGAGCGCTGCCCGGACCGCGGTCGGGCTCTCGGGGCCCGGCGGCTCATGGTCCACGGCGGGTTTGGGCTCCCTCCCAGCAGGAGCTGGCGTTGGCGGCGACTCCTCCCTCCCTCGTCCACAACCTCGAAGGCTCGTGCGCTCCTCGCTGGCCCAGCGCGGCCCCGGCTCGGCTCTCCCGGCAGCGGAGCCCAGCGCGCTCCAAGCCCAGCACCGCGCCGCGCGCGCCCCGCTTGCTCCCTCTCGCGACCCCCG